GATAGAGTTTGGCAGGAAAAAGTATATAGAAAACCTCAAGTATTAGCATTAGACACTAACACATGTCGTGCCCTTTTGAAACTCAATTTGCTCTCCTCAAACAAAACCAAAAGCACTGCATATTAAAATACATTTTAATTCTTCCAAAATTAGTGTCAATAATTTGGGCACAACTACAAAGAAAAATATTCCGTTGACTGTTGACTATTTTGTAGACTAGTTGGCATCTGAAAGTCAACTAATGAACAAATAGATATCTTAGTATAAATAATAAAACAAAAAACAATAAATATGTTTGTAGTTTTTAGCCGAGTACGATCAAAAGATCGACCTCGGATCGTGTCTCTCGAGGAAGATTGTTCGGAACTTCATTCACTATCTAGTTATCAATTCACAAAATCGAAAATAAGGTCCTAAACATGCTATAGCTACTCGCTTGATTGAGGATGATTTACACGAAACTAAGTTAAGAAAATAAAGCAAATGATGAAAGATGTAAGTTTTGAAAGAAAAGATTGGAACTTTGGTTGCACGGAGACGAAAATGAAAATAAACGAAGAGAAAACATGCGAGCAAAATAATTCTAGGTAACCTAACACGAGCCTTCTAACTAAATCATCACGCTTTGAGCAAAGTCGAGATCTTCACACAAGATAAGCACGCATTGAATTCCTAACACACTTACGCAAGCAATGAAAATAAAACAAAGCCCTAAAATCGAGCATCAACACAAAATCCCGACCAAATCACAAACTCGAAATAATAAACCTTAATCAAGATCCTTATCCTCCTATTGCAAGCTCGGACGAAAATAATGCATGCAGATTGAATTTCAGATAAAAATAAAGTAGCGGAAAAGTTGCCGGAAAATGTCAAGCTTGGACCTCCTAAACAAAGCATAAAAATAAAAGAGAGAAAAAGAGCTAATTTCCCAACTTTTTAGTTGGGAAATGAGAGGTGATGTTCAGAAATACGAAGCACAATATCTATTTATAGCTACGTACACCACAAACACGCATTTAAAATTTCACACTCGTCCCATTTCCGCCCGGGCAAAATTCTGGGCGAGTGCTCCATGCCGCGGGCGAATATCAGTCCACCTGGGCGGATTCCAAGCGAGTACTCCATGTGGCCTAGGGTGAATGTCAGTCCTCTCGGCGGAATGCCAGGCGAGTGCTCCAGGCCACCCCGCGTAATGTGGGCGAGTGAACGGGCGCGCAGGCGAGTGTCAGGGCGCATGGGCGAATGGCAGCAAAAGGTGCCTTGGCCTCGGGCGAATGTTGGTTTGCCTGGCGAAACCCGGGCGAATGTTGGGGTTACACGCGGGCGAGTGTCCTGGCCGTGGGTGAACACTGGGTGAGTGTTGGGGCATGCGTGGGCGTGCGGGTACACCACAAACACATACTAAAAACACATACATTTAAAATTTCTCACTCGCCCGGGCGAAATTCTGGGCGAGTGCTCCATGCCGCGGGCGAATATCAATCCGCCTGGGCAAATTCCAAGCGAGTGCTCCATGTGGCCTCAGGCGAATGTCAGTCTAGGCCCGGCGGAATGCCGGGCGAGTGCTTTAGGCCGTCCCGCGTAAAGTGGGCGAGTGTACGGGTGCACGGGCGAGTGTCCGGGCACGTGGGCGAATGACAGCAGACGATGCCTTGGCCTTGGGCGAATGTTGGTTCGCCTGGCGAAACCCGGGCGAGGGTGATTTCCAAGCGAGTGGTCCATGTGGACTCAGGCGAATGTCAGTCCGCCTGGGCGAATTCCAGGCGAGTTCTCCATGTGGCCTCGGGCGAATGTCAGTCCGCCCGGCGGAATGCCGGGCGAGTGCTCCAGGCCGCCCCGCGTAATGTGGGCGAGTGTACAGGCGCGCGGACGAGTGTCAGGGCGCGTGGGCGAATGGCAGCAGACGGTGCCTTGGCCTCGGGCAAATATTGGTTCGTCTGGCGAAACCCAGACGAGTGTTGGGNACAAAACGAGAGCAAAAATATACGAAACACGATAAAATGGATCGGTCGACACTAAAATGAACATAAAAAGATTCAACTCAAGTACGGAAAACACACGAAAATAAGCACAAAAACACAATACAAAATAAATAAAAGAATAAAGGTTGTCCAATGTGAGGCTCACATATCTATTGTCCATAGAAAATGTGAAGTGCCATTTGGGTCCCACCTGTAACTATTATTCAGGCACCAATAGTAATATAGAATCTTCTATATATATAATTAATACAAATATATTGATGGAATCTTTTATGTATATTAAAATATAAAATTTTATGACTTCTTATTAGGGCATGAATAAAGTAGAAAAGAAGAAAATATGCATTTGAGAGAGAAAGATTAAAATGTGTTATTGAATATATTTTTATTAGTGAAAAGATAAATAAATAAAGTATTGATTTTACTTAATGTAAATTGATGTGATTTACAATTGAAATGTTTAATGATTGATATAAAATAATTTTAAGTCAAATGTATATAATAGTAATTTAAACAATATCCAAATTTTAATTTAGCAAGATTTATTAATTTAGATGAGAAATTTTCATGATGATAAGCATATTTTGATTGATCACTTTTTTTTCTGTAATAATTTCAGCTCAATTAAAATGAATTTAAACTAATTTTCTTTTATTTTTTATAATCATAATGGGCAAGAAAATGTGAGACCTTTTTTTTTTTCTACCTTTACATGATAGAAGATAACCAACCGATGTAAGTTGTTATAGTGTCCACTCACTTGTAATAAGATTTGACAGCATATTTATTACTTAATTTCCGAATTTGTTATTTTTATTTTTATTATTGTTTGATTGCTGAGAGAAAGAACTCAATATTAAAATCCAAACAAACTTATCTATTTAATTTATATTGTAAGCCACTTACAAATGACAATGCAGCCCAACCCAATATTGCATGTTGGCTGAACTATCTGGATAGGTAAAGCCCATTTTGAGATAATTACACCATACACAAGACTTTTGTCAACTACAAATAGTTGGGCCTCATTGTATGGGCCCATCTTACAAAAGGTCCATATGTCAAGCCCACTTTGACATTGTAAACTCCTGGTCTTTTTTTTTTCCACCTTTATATGGGAAACCAATTTGAGTATGGTTGGAAATGAACTGAGGGACTCACAAGAACTCGAGTAACATTCAACTTGATCAAGCTCAATCATCTTGAATTCGAAATTGAGCCAAATTCGAGCATGTAGTTTGTAATCTTGAGTGTTTGACAAGCCGCTCGATTATTGTTAAAGTTATTTAAATAACCCTAACTAGATTTTTTTAATTGAAATTTCGAGGCAGACTCGAGAAAAAATTGAGTCAATTTTGAGCATTTGAGCTTTTTCGTCGAGTTGAGTCGGGCCTACAAATGTTCCACTTGTCAAGCTTGTACATCAATAAAAAAAATTGAGTCTAACTCGCTATGAAGAATATTCAACTCGACTCGACTCGACTCGTCTGCAACACCAATTTTGATTAATTTGCAATAAGATACTGTGCATTGTATTTCGTTTTATTTTTTCACTGTTATAATTGATGACTCTTTTGAATGAGAGGCCAAATATATCAATTTAATAACTCTCATCTTTATATACTTGCATATTCAAGAGATAAAAGTGCATGTCACCGTAAATTATATCTATAAATATGTTGCATACATATTTACTTGATGAATATCTTAAATTAAAATGTTGGTTGTATTTCATTAATATAATAAAAATGATACCATTAAAGTATATTAGTTGTCAGATAAAATATGCAGTTATTGCCACATTGCATACTGTTTGCCTAATAGATACAGTGTTAGTTGGCAAATAATTACATTAATTAGTATGCTCAATTAGGGTGAACTCAAGTATGGTTAATCATCTGGTGATGATTATCACAATTTAATAGGTTTGTTAAGTTTATATATGCACAATTTTTATTTTTAGTTTCAGATTGTTGTGATATAATGACCATTTCTATTATATTTTTTCAGATTATTTATGGTAATATTTGTTAGGTGCATGTTGTTTTTTCCCCATCTCTCCATTAGTGCTCAGATTTGGTCTGCTAATATTAGATGTAACATTATGAGGATTCAACAGTATAATTCTCGTATCAAAACACATCTATACAAGTTTGTATGTTTATGCATATAATCTGACGGTTCAGACCTCAATTTGACAGTAATAGTATACATATCAATGGGATGAACTTAACATTAAAAATGAACATATAAAAGCAAGGTAAATAGAATAGCTTATTTTAAATTACAACAATATGATATTTCATATAAAACTCATATTAAACACAATTCTAGCATAGGACATCAGTGTACAACACATGTATTTGAAAACAAATAAATGTACAATAGAAGCTGAATAACTAAAAGAATTTATATTCTTATTGAGACTTGTAAGAAATAAAAATAAATAAATAAATAAATAAAAACTAACAAAATGATAATTATTTAAAATAACACTCGTGCTTTATACTCAATGTTTAAAAAATAATGATTTTAATCACATTTATAGAATTATGTCTAGAAAATATTATTTACAAATCCTTGAATTTGACTTCAATTTTAAAAAAGAAAATCTAAACTTTATGAGTCTTTTAATTATGTCTAGTATTTTAAAATATGAGTCAATTTATTTTAAATATGTCCCATATTAATCTTTTAAATATGTCTCGTATTATTTATAGCTCTTTAAATTTGACTTCAATTTATTTTCTCCCTAATTTCTTTGAATATGAAAATGATAGAGTCAATTTTTCCGTACATTAAACTTGACATAATAAAAAATGTTAAAAATCTAGAATTCAAATATATATGACACATTTTATGTCATTGTATAATAGAGGGATAGAGGACTTTTTTTTTTCGCATAATATTTCAAATATGGGAATTTTTTTGAATGCCCAAGATAAGGAGAAAACAGACAAAAATAATGCACAATTGCTAATT